AGACAACTTTCTGCATAAGTACCACATACCAAAATTAAATCAACACCAGATAAACTAATAGACCAATAAACCCTAAGGAAATAGAAACAATCATTAAAAGTCTCCCAACCAAAAAAAGCCCAGGAACAGATGGTTTCAGCGTGGAATTCTACCAGATTTACAAAGAAATGCTGATTCCAATACTCTTCAAATTGTTCCACACAATAGAAACAGAAGGAATATTACCAAGCTCTTTTTATAAGGCTACAGTTACCCTGATATCCAAACCACACAAAGATGCAACAAAGAAAGAGAATTACAGACCAATCTCCCTCATGAACATGGATGCAAAAATACTCAACAAAATACTGGCAAAACGAATTCAAGACACAGCAAAAAAATTATCCACTGACCAAGTAGGCTTCATCCCAGGGATGCAAGAATAGTTCAACACACGAAAATCTGTCAATGTAATACACCATATAAACAAACTTGTGTAAAGGTTAAAACCTTCCTTTTTAAGAAAAGAAAAGGGGAAGTGCTGTGGGATGGTCTGTATGTCAAATGTGTTGCTGATTGGTCAATAAATAAATCACTGATTGGCCCATGGCCAGGCAGGAAGTATAGGCAGGACAAGGAGGAGAATAGAGCTGGGAAGTGGAAGGCTGAGTCAGGGAGACACTGCCAGCCGCCATCAGGACAAGGAAGATGTAAAGTACCGGTAAGCCACAAGCCACGTGGCAAGGTATAGATTAATAGAAATGGATTAATTTAAGCTGTAAGAAAAGTTAGCAAGAAGCCTGCCACGGCCATACAGTTTGTAACCAATATAAGTCTCTGTGTTTATTTGGTTGGGTCTGAATGGCTGTGGGACTGGCGGGTGTCAGAGATTTGTCCTGACTGTGGGCCAGGCAGGAAAACTCTAGCAACACAAACTGAAGGGAAAAAAACACATGAAAATCTCATTAGATGCTGAAAAAGCCTTTGACAAAATCCAACACCCCTTTACGATAAAGGTCTTAGAGAGATCAGGAATACAAGGAACACACCTAAAGATAAAAGCCAACAGCCACCATCAAATTAAATGGAGAGAAACTCAAAGTGATTCCTCTAAAATCAGGAACAAGACAAGGCTGTCCACTCTCCCCATATTTATTTAATACAGTACTTGAAGTTCTAGCTAGAGCAATAAGACAACATAAGGAGATCAAGGTGACACAAATTGGAAAGAAAGAAGTGAAACTTTCACTATTTGCAGATGATATGATAGTATACATAAGTGACTCCAAAAATTCTACCAGGGAATTCCTACAGCTGATAAACTCCTTCAGTAAAGTGGCAGGATACAAGATCAACTCAAAAAAATCAGTAGCTCTCCTATATACAAATGATAAAGGGGCTGAGAAAGAAATCAGAGAAACATCACCCTTTACAATAGCCACAAATAATATAAAATACCTTGGGGTAACACTAACTAAACAAGTGAAGGACCTGTATGATAAGAACTTTAAGTCTCTGAAGAAACTGAAGAAGCTATCAGAAAACGGAAAGATCTCCCATGCTCATGGATAGGTAGGATTAACACAGTAAAAATGGTAATCTTACCAAAAGCAATCTACAGATTCAATGCAATCCCCATAAAAATCCCAACACAATTCTTCACAGACTTGGAAAGAACAATACTCAACTTCATATGGAAAAACAAAAAACCCAGGATAGCTAAAAGAATCCTGTACAATAAAGCAACTTCTGGAGGCATCACCATCCCTGACTTCAAGCTCTACTATAGAGCTATAGTAATAAAAACAGCTTGGTACTGGCATAAAAACCGACATATGGACCAATGGAATCGAATTGAAGACCCTGACATTAATCCACACACATATGAACACCTGATTTTTGACAAAGAAGCCAAAACCATACAATGGAAAAAAGAAAGTATCTTCAACAAATGGTGCTGGCATAACTGGATGTCACCTTGTAAAAGACTGCAAATAGATTCATATCTGTCACCATGCACAAAACTCAAGCCCAAGTGGATCAAAGACCTCAACATAAATCGTTACATTGAACTTGATAGAAGAGAAAGTAGGAAGTACTCTTGAATGCATTGGCACAGGAGATCACTTTCTAAATATAACACCAGTAGCACAGACACTGAGAGCAACAATTCATAAATGGGACCTCTTAAAACTGAGAAGCTTTTGTAGGGCAAAAGACAGGTCAATAAGACAAAAAGACAACCTACAAAATGGGAAAAGACCTTCACCAAACCCCCATTTGACAGAGGACTGATCTCCAAAGTATATAAAGAACTCAAGAAACTAGACATCAAAATATTGAACAATTCAATTAAAAAATGGGCTACAGAGCTAAACAGAATTCTCAAAAGAAGAATTTCAAATGGCTGAAAGACATTTAAGGAAATGCTCAACATCCTTAGTCATCAGAGAAATGCAAATCAAAACAACTCTGAGATACTACCTTATACCTGTCAAAATAGCTATGATCAAAAACACTAATGACAGTCTATGTAGGTGAGGATGCGGAGCAAGGGGAACACTCTTCCACTGTTGGTGGGAGTGCAAACTTGTCCAATCACTGTGGAAATCAGTATGGTGGTTTCTCAGAAAATTGGGAATTGATCTACCTCAAGACCAAGTCATACCACTCTTGGGCATATACCCAAGGAATGCTCAATCATACCACAAAGATACATGTTCATAGCAGCATTATTTGTAACAGCCGGATTCTGGAAACAACCTAGATGCCTGTCAACTGAAGAATGGATTAAGAAAATGTGGTACATATACATAATGGAGTACTACTCAGCAGAGAAAAGCAATGACATCATGAAATTTGCAGGCAAATGGATGGAACTAGAAAGTATCATCCTGAGTGAGGTAACCCAGACTCAGAAGGACAAACATGGTATGTACTCACTCATAAGTGGATACTAGATATAAAGCAAAGAATAATCAGACTGCAACACACAGAACCATGGAGGCTACCTAGCAGGAGGGACCCTAGGATGACTGTGGCTTATAATAAGTTTTGGTTTTGCTCAATCACTGGACAAGCTTTAGTGAAACATTTCACTATTAGGATAAGAATAGATACCGTATCAAGCTGATGAAAGAATATGCTGGCTGTACTTTCAGGAGGGGAGGCTAAAATCTTCTTAGATTATGAATTAGCCTATAGAAAAATGTCTGCCATAAATCAAACAGTAAAAGGGAAGATGAATAGGAATCTCACACAACTTAAGTAAAACATAGCTCTCTGAACAGATGAAGATAGGTTTCTTCTGCATCCCAGAATCTAATCAATATTTATATGTATAATTCAGCTATCATTTGGCTTAAAAGGGCCTATTGGGAAATGTTATCATTTATACTATTTTCTACAGAGAAAATATTTTACTGTTTAAAATAACTCAGGACTTTTGGATTATAATCTGTTTTTATGTTCAAGCTATCTGTGTATTATTTCTCCTGCAGTTGTACATAAAATGTTTTTACTTAAAAAAAAAAAAAAGAAATTCACCACATTTCTATTCAATAGGTCATAAGCATTTCAGTAGAAATTGCATTAAGGTCTGGCAAAATGGCTCAGTGGCCTCTGACCTCCATGTGGGCTGGACTGACCAGTCAGTTAGTTAGAAGGCTTTAAGAGCAGAACACAGGAAGAAATTGCCTCATTGTTCATGCATGCTCAAGAGTCTCCATTCTTCCTTTTCTGATATTTTAGTCAGTGTAGGTACTTTGCATGCCCATAAAACATTCCTTAAAATAAAGATCTTAGCTTCTGTACCACAACTGAACTACACAGCAGAACTTCCACAGCAAAGCATGAGATTGCTGTTGCTTAGTTTTAGATCTTTATTGGAAATAAATTTTGTCTTTAGTTTTTGAGACAGGTCTCTATTCCAGTTTGGCCTACCCCTTAAGGCAATCTTCCTGTCTTCCCTTCCCAGATGCTGGGGTCAGTGAGCTACAATACCCAGCTTTTTTTTTCTTTCCCCAGATGATGGTCTCACTATATTCCCCACAGAGTTAGAACTCCTGGGCTTGAGCAGTCTTTCTGCTTCAGACTCCTAGTAGCTACTGCTACAGGCATGTGTCTCTCTTTCCCTTTCTGGAAAAGACTTTTGCTACAGGGATAGGCATATAGCTCAGAGGTAGAGGCTTGATGCATGAGACTTTGGGTTCAATCTCTAGCACTGTTTAAAAATAAGAAAGCATTGTGTGGAATCTCTTTATAGCCGAAGTGATCTGGAAAAATATAAATCAATTCAGAGTTTGGTAGCATATTCCTTTAATCCCATCATTTGGGAAGCTCCCATCATCTAGTCAGCCAGAACTAAAGTAAGACCTTGTCTCCATGCAAACAAACAAACATCAAATTTTGTTATTCTCTGGGCCAAAAGTTTTCCATTATACTTAATCAAAATTTCTGCAGGATGTGGTGGTGCACACACATTTATAAAACCAACCCTTAGCAGATTTCAGAATTTCAAGTTTAAGGCCCATCTGGGCTACACAGTGAGTTCTTGTCTTAAAGAAATTCATACTTCTGATCTTAGCTTTTATGATTCTACACCTGCCTTCCTTCCAACATTTCTCTCACCCTCTTCTTTTCTACACTCCACCATGCTAGTCTTTCATTACATCCACCTTACCACTGTCCTTTCTTTAGTCTTTGGGCAGTTTTCCTCCAGATATTCCCAGTAAGGGTCTGGAAAAAAACTGAGAAATGACATCCTGGTTGGCTCCACCTTACTCCTTTTTCTTCAGATACTCTATTCTATTGCCCTGATTTTCCCCCGTAACAGCAAGCACAGTCTGAAATGATCTCATCCATTGTATTTGCTTGAGAGTTACCTATCCAATAGAACCGCAGTATTTATTTATCTAGCTCTTTTAGCTGTCCATCAGTGTCCTAAGCACTTTACATGCTAACGCATTTTCTGTTCCATAACCCATAAAGTAGGCATTTTTAGTATTTTATAGATGAGGTACCTGTCATTTACAGAGATGAAGTGGCTTCCCTTGCAAAAGCATCTCATTTGCTAACTCTGGAAAGGACACATGCTGTGGAAGCTCTCCTGGGAGGTGGACCATGTAGACTCTTGGGCTTCACCCTTGACCAATGAATCAAAATCAACAGCTTAACAAAATTTCCAAGTGATTTTTTTTTTTTTTTTTTTTTTGGTTTTCACGAAAGGGTTTCTCTGTGTAGCAGCTCTGGCTGTTCTAGAACTCACTCTGTAGACCAGGCTGGCCTCGAATTCAAAGAGATCTGCCTGCCTCGGCCTCCCGATTAAAGGCGTGCACCACCACGCCCGGTCTTTAAGGTGATTCCTAACAAAGTGTAAATCATGGACAAATTAATTCCCAAGTAACACCTTTCACACCCAACCCCAGGACACCAAATCAAGAGCAGAGCAGTGAAGTCAAAAGTTTGGACTTTCCCAGTTAGCTTGATAAACAAGCATCTCTGTGGTTTTGGGACCTCCTCTCCCCCCACCCCAACTTCGCACCCTACACCCTAAGACAACCATAGGCATCCTAGGCTCCGCTGAGCTTTGAAAACTTTGAAGGGAAAAACGAAGGGAAGGAGTTGTAAGGTAGAAGAGAAAGCGGTTAAAGGTTCTGTTTAAAGAGTCCATGCCCATAACAAACCTCGCCTTCTGCCCTGAAGGAAAATGGCACCCGGAATAGATGCAGTTCCGGTCTCGGAGTAACAGCCAATAGGAGAGGCTAGGAACCGGAAGTAGCCGCCACACAGCCCCTCCTCTGGGCGCCTCCCCTCTCTCGGGAGGATGAGACAGCCCGGGGGCCGTGGCGGAGCTGTGGTTGCTGGGTGACCGTCGGAGCCGGGACGGAGTGAGTGTCCGCTGGCGGGTGGGGACGCCCGGGATGACCTTCGAGCTCCGGACAGGCGGAGCGAGAGCGCCCTGACCGGCTGGGGCGGCGGGCCGGGCGGGAGCCACGGGCGGCCTGTCCAGGTAGGAGTCCACCGGGCCGGGCCAGCTCACGGCCCACGCGGCTTCCTCTCCCCACGCACCTCCTCCGCGCCGTCAGTTCTGGAGGGATCTACCCTCCTGGTGGCCACGGCGCTTCATTTCACGCACACCGGGGTTAGTGTGTGGTCGTCTTTGGTGTCTTTTCATAAGAAGCTTCCAGGTACAACGTCTTTATTGTTATTTTACATTTAACATTCCTTGAAGTTTGGGGACTTTTTCTAGAAGCCGTCATGCCTCCTTTAAGTCTTGAATCCTTAATTGTGATGAAAGCTGTTGCTTTCTCAGTGTCTGTACTGCATTGTGACCAGGGAATTTTACTTTCTTTTCTACACCGTCAATTGGGAAAGTTAATAACTTAGTTATGGCTTGAGATCTTGGCTTCCTCTCCCTAACCCAGTTCCCTGATGTGCTTAAGAGTCACACGCAACCGCAGCTTAGCTACAATAGTTTCATCTTCACTCAAGAGAAATAAAGTAGGAAATACAACCAAGATTTCTGTCATTAGCCTTTACGGATTTTACATTATTTATTTACATATTCATTTTTCCAGAACCAAGGAATCTTCACAGGTCTCACATGCTAGGCAAGTGCTTTACCACTGAGCCACTACACACACACACACACACACACACACACACACACACACACACACACACACACACGCAAGCGCGCACATGCCCCCATGCTAGGCAAGTGCTTTACCACTGAGCCACTACACACACACACACACACACACACACACACACAGCCCCAACCCGTTTCTAAACTTTTCGTTTTGAGACAGGGTCTTACTAAGTGGCCCAGGCAAGCCTGCAACTCATTGTTGCCTCAGTGGACCTTGAATTTGCAGATTTTCTTGCCTTAGCCTCCTGAGTAACTGGATTACAGGTAGCACCAGGGGAGGCAGATTTCACCTGTTCTAGTAAGAGGTCATTCAAGAGTAGTCTTCAGTTTCTGACTAAAATGATTTCTTAAAATAAATAAATTACCTAAAAAATTAACTAAGGCATTCGGTCTGTTTGGTCAGGTTAGTTTTTGCCATTAAGGAATTGAGACACAAACTGGCAGGGATTAGAATACTTACGATTTTAAGACATATTTTTTGTTTTGTCTTTAGTTGTTTTGTGTGTGTGTGTGTGTGTGTGTGTGTGTGTGTTTATGTATATGTTATTCCTAGTGCCCTTGGAGGTCAGAAGAGGGCGTCAGATCCCCTGGAACTGGAGTTACAGATGGTTGTTACAGAGCAACTTTGTGTGGGTTCTGGGAACCCAATTGAGGCCTCCTGAAGATCAACAAGTGATCTTAACTACTGAGACATCCCCAGCCCCAGAAATGTGCACATTTTTATCCTATGTTTTTTGAAGTTACATTTTATTTATATGTGGGGATGTTGGAATTTGTGTTGGAGGCAGAGAACAGTAAGGAGTTGGTTCTTTCCTTCCATCCGTGGGTTTCTGGGCATTGAACTCAGGTCCTCAGGCTTAGCCATTTTGAGGGTCCCAGAGTGTTTTTGTTTGATTGGTTTTGTTTTAAACTAGGTCTGCTGCTTCATCCTCCTCACTGCTGGGTTGCACAGCTTCCTTATTATTCAGTTTATTTTTATTTTTTATTATCTCTTAAAAATGACTTCTTTTTCTTTTTTTTTAATAATTTTTATTTTATGTGTATGGGTACTGTGGCTGTAAGTCTGTGTACACCATGTGTGTGCCTGGTGCCTGTGGAAGCCAGAGGAGGGCATCAGACCCCCTAGAACTAGAGTCATAGACACTTATGAGCTACTATGTGGGTGCTGGGAATTGAACCAGGGTCCTCAAGAAGAGCAGCCAGTGCTCTTAACCACTGAACCACCTCTTCAGACCCCTTATTATTCAGTTTAATTAGAGCTTTGGCAATGAGGAAAGCCCTGCTATGTTATGTTGTCCAAGTAGAACTGGATTTCCTGGGCTCAAGTGTACCTCCTGCCTCAGCCTGCCCCATAGCTGAGACTCCAGGCGTGCCGCACCCAGAGGCTAATTATTACTTTTCTCACCTTTTCCCACCCTAGGTGCATAATGGCAGAAACCGTGTCTCCGCTGAAGCACTTTGTGCTGGCTAAGAAGGCCATCACTGCAATCTTTGGCCAGTTACTGGAGTTTGTTACCGAAGGGTCACATTTTGTTGAAGGTTGGTACCTCTTAAAATTTCTACAATGACTGTTGAAAATATGTACAAGTGTTTTATTATTTCAACTTTAGTTCTTTATTTTGTTTTATTTCTTTTTTTGAGATCAGGCTGGCTTTGAACTGGCTCTGTAGCCAAGAATGGCTTTAAACTCCTGATCCTCCTGCCTCTGCCTCCTGACTGCTGGGTGTACAGGCGTGTGCCTTGCTCAGGTTTAGATGTTGAATTCACATTGTTCTGTATTCTGAGAACAGTACCATAGTGAGTAAAAGCAATTTCACAGTTAAGAAATAGTGGTCTGAATGTTTAATTATGAAATTTAAAATTTCTGTAATCCTCATAAAACCAGTAGGTAAGTTAGAAGCATACTCATTTTAAAGGCACTGTGCAGATAAGCAACTTGCCCCAAGATCACAAAGCTGGATTTGCCCACAATCAGGCAGTCTGTATGCAGCCATTACATATGTCTCCTCCACGATTTGTCCTTGAGCAATTTTAGAATCTCAGGCTTATCTCTTCCCTCACATGAGATGTAGTTGCTTTGGGAAAGGATAAATATTTTCCTTTTGTTTGTGTAACTGCTCAAAGGTAGCCTCAATTGTTTTTTCAGGATATACTAATTTAAAGAGAACTATTGGAATTTCTGCAGGTTCTTAGGATATCTGTCTGTTGGGTTTACAATGAAAAGTAAGGAATTCTTAGAATATTTCCAATGACATTGGGGAACCATTTAATCTCTTGGTTGAAGCAAACATTTCCCCACTTGTTCCTTTAAATCTCCCTCACCAGATTTTGAGCTCCTTAGGTCTGGAACTTTGATTATCTCCAATTCCAAATATCACGTAGCCCAAGTTTCATTGAGTGAGAAAATACAAAGGTTTATTTCCAGTTTTGGAAGACTGAGCCAACACAGTGACTTGTGGAAAATACCGTCTCCTAAAGTTGACAGGGAGTAAAACTGAAGTTGAATGTAGTATTTTCTTTTTTGAAGCCTGTCAATTATAGCTTGAACATATGCTGGGAGTTAGTGAAAAGGCAGTATTAGAATCTGAATTTTTTTTGACTTGTTCTAAAATTTCCAAGGGCGGGGAGGGGGCTAGCAAATAGAAACATAAATCAAGAAGTGTAAAATGAGAAATAACAAGAAGTATAATATGTAAGGTAAGGATTTAAGAATCACAACCTTGGGCTGGGCAGTGGTGGCGCATGCCTTTAATCCCAGCAGAGCCAAGTGGGTCTCTGTGAGTTCGAGGCCAGCCTGGTCTACAGAGTGAGATCCAGGACAGGCACCAAAACTACAGAGAAACCCTGTCTTGAAAAAACCAAAAAAAAAAAAAGAATCACAACCTTGGCTTGGTGGTGCAAGCCTGTAGTATCAGGAGTTCAAGGTCCTCAGCTACATAGCAAGTTGAGTGCCAGTCTTTCCATTATTCACCCGTTGTAAATGCTTTATTAATGTACATGAAATGTAAAATGAGGTGCAAAAAGCTTAAGCCTAATCACTTGAGCACTGAGTTAGTTCTAAGTGTCTCTGGTTATGATAACAAAATGAGTCTCCATGTCTTATCTTCAAAGAGAGGCAAAAAGACAGTATTAGTTTTCTCTCCTATTACTAGGATGAGAAAACAGTGACTGTTTCTATCCTTTTGTTTTTTGAAGACAGGGTTTCTCTGTGTAGCTCTGGCTGTCCTAGAACTCACTCTATAGACCAGGTTGGCCTCGAACTCACAGAGATCCGCCCGTCTCTACCTCCCGAGTGCTGGGATTAAAGATGTGTGCCACCACCACCAGGCTCATTTTGCTCCTTTTCAAACCCGTGATCTTAGAACTTCCTCTGCCCTTGGTTAGGGTTATGTGGATAGGTCCCCTGGTTCTGATAAGCCCAGCTTCTGCTTCAGTCTGTAAATCTTTCTCTCTGCCTTTTCTTACTGGTTGGACTGTTGTATCCCTTCCTCGTGGAAATCAAGCTGTGAAGTGACAAGAAGCGAGGGCTTTCCTGGCTCAAACTGAACCCTGTCTTTGTATCTGAGAGGTAGGAACGTCACAGTTCAGCATGTGGCGCTCCTTTCCAGTTCAGGATCAACTTGAACAAAAGTAGATGGCTAGTAGGTTCTCATTTCTCTCTTTAAAACGGGGATTTTGTTTCACATATGGTTTGTAATTTTGAACACTAGATAAATATTAAGTAATCCCTTTCACCAAGTTCTTGAAATCTTTAATATTTTTGAAATTCTTTCAGGCAGGATAGTCATCACAGTGGGCACTCAGCTATTACCAGATATTCAAGGTTGTAGCTTAGCAGTAGAGCACCTGCCTTGCGTGTATGCGGTCCTAGACTAACTACCTGACACACGCATTCTAAAAAAAAAAGAAAAAAGAGACCAACTACTCAGATTTTTCAAGTGATATGTTAGTGTAGAACAACTCAAAATGCATACAGTTGTATAATTATCAGAATTCATTTATATCATTTTTTCTAACACTGTTTGAACTTTGCAGCAACATACAGGAATCCGGAACTTGATCGAATAGCAACTGAGGATGATCTGGTGGAAA